AAAAAAAATTTGGTCAATTCCGACTTTGCTATGACAATCTGGCGCTTCTGAATCAGCGACTGTAAGTATGTTTTCTTAATAGTTTAAGTATTTGCTATTGACTGTTCAAATGCTCAAATTGCATCGTGTAGAGTATCGCGTTGTGTGTGTGTGTGTGTGTGCGTGAGAGAGAGACACAGAGAGGTCACATCACAGTGCTTTCTTAATCGCTTAAGCTTTCTTAATCGCTGCTTGTGTACTGCAAATACATACGAGCATCATCACTGTGTCCGTCACACGACTCTGTTCCCCTTTCAGGCTTGAACTGATGGTAAAACTAAGGACATTATTTACTGTATTTACATTTATGTTGAAAGATACACAAAATAATGATCTTTAAAATAGCATCATTTGACCCCTTTAACAGGCATTAGTTGAGATTTCAATGTTATCTTAACAGAAACAGACTGTAGAGTGAAAAACTCTCATTCGACTCTCAAATGCCCAGATACCTTTGAAATGGATATTTTTTTGCATAATGTTATTTTTAGTTGTACATAATTTGAATGAGTCAAAAAAAAAAAAAAAACCTTTCTAAGAGTTTACAGATGGACCATTTATTTTCTTTGTTTTAGCTGTTTTCTTTTGACAGCAGTGTGTTGCTTGTGGGTGTGTGTGAGTTGTTTCAGTATTTACTGATACAGTTTACTTTTGCACTGTTGTAACTCAAGACATGCAAGTGCTACATTTAAATGCCATGGCCTAGTGTAAATGTTAACCTTGCAAGTTCTTGAACATCAGTCAGATAAGCACTGTTCCTGTTTTCCCATGCTCCTTTAGTACCGGGATGATTTGTCAGTGGACAGCCGCAGAAGCAGCACAATCATTGATAAGGAACCTAGTGAGTATCAGAGTTTTTTGCCAACAGACGTTAAAGGTAACAGACGCACAGTATGTGTTCATTTGTCTGTGTTTGTGTTGTGTTTTTCACAGCCGGCGTCATCACTCAGAATGGACATGTTAGGAAAGGGGAGTCCAGAGGCTCTATGTATGGAGATCCTGGCACTCCAGACGTCAATGAGGTGAAACCGAGACAGCCATGATTTCACTACTGGTGGCCAGTGTTGGGGAACGTTACTTTTAAAAGTAACATGTCACAATGTTGTGTCACTCAATATATTTAAAAAAATAACGAATTATATTACATGGTTATTTTTTGTAGTAATTAACACAGTAGAATACTTTTTCCTCACTCTTTATATATACTCTACCATTCAAAAAATAATATATTTATTTACTGAGGATGCATTAAAGTGACAGTAAAGGCATTTATAATGTTACAAAAATTTCTATTTCAAATAAAAGTTGATGTTTTGAACTTCATTCATCAAAGAATTTTCACGAAAATATTAAAACTGTTTTCAACAGTGATGATAATAAGAAATGGTTCTTGAGCACCAAATCAGCAAATTAGACTGATTTCTGAAGGATCATGTGACACTGAAGGCTGGAATAATGACGCTGAAAATTCAGCTTTGCATCATGGGATTAAAGTAGATTTTAAAATATGTAAATATAGCAAACTGTTTATTCTTTAATTGTCATAAATTTCACAATATTACTGTTTTACTGTGTTTTTGATCAAATAAATGCAGCCTTGGTGAGCATTAAAACATCTTGCCGACCCCAAACTGTTGATCAGTAGTTCACAATGTATAAAATTATGTAAAAAATCAAGAAAACAAGACACATGCAAGCATTGAGGCAAAAATCCTTTTTTTTTTTTTTTTTTTTTTT